AAAAAAATAGATCATAACTAAATTTATACTATTTTTAAGCTAAAATTGTTACACGAACTCTACAGCTTAAGAGATAGACCGTAATTTTCTAACAAAATTTTAGTTTTTCTATTAATAAAAATTTTTGGTTTAAGTGATTGTCAAAAAATATATTAAAATTTATTTATTTATTTATTTTCTTTGATAACCATATACTAAAATTTTATTAAATATTTGATGTTTAATACAAGACTAAACTATTTAATTGGTATATTAGACCAATATTTGGCTTTCTCTATTTTAAGATATCTAAATATGGTTATCACACTGATATTGGCCACTATACTCCACATACAATAGGATACATTTTAAGATATAGTCTAGTTTGGGTTCAGCTTCTATCATGTTAGAACCTTTTTTTCCTTGAAATACAGTATATTAATATCTTGTTTATATAAGTTTAATATAAATTTAACTAATAATGAAAAATAGATTTGTTCTTGTTTATATTTTATAAAAAACAGATTTTTTTTATATAAACACTTAGTCATTCCAATTAGCCAATAGTTACTCTTATTTTTTTTATAAGATGTGTTTATTGTAATATAAATAAATATATGGCATCAATACTAATAATGTTTTATTAATTTAAATTTGTTGCAATTCTACATATTCTCTAATCGCAATATCTTCAAGTAATCCTTGACAAGAAATATGTTTAGCTTGTAATTATATGAACCTCGAGATTATGAATATCTTCTACTTAATCTCTTTCCATCAAAAAAAAAATAAACCAATTAATAACAATAAAAATGAAATATATAAAACAAATATGATGTTTGAAATAAATAATGTTCACTTTACAAGTTTTGAATGAGACAAGTTTTTTTTTTTTTTAATGCTTATTTTAATTATTATTTGATATTTAGGCATTATGCATTCTTAACAAATCCAAAAATTTTTCTAACTGTCAAAGGTTCTTGGATAATATGAAAACAAAGTTAGTTCAGATGGTGAAAGATATTTTGCATTATGAAAATAAGCGTACATTGCCACGATAGTAACGAAAATACATTATTCGATAAATATAATTATTATATTTGTATTAAATTAATACATAAATATATTATTCATGTGCTTCACTGGTCGAATCGTGTCATTTCTAGGTTCATATCGGAGCTGATAGAGCTATCAGTAAAATTATAAAGCTATCAGGTTTCTGATATTTAACCAATAGCTCTATTAGCTCCGATATGAACCTGGAAAGGATTTAATTTAGAAGGTATAAAGATGTTACTAAACGCATAACAATGGATGGATAAAAGATTTTTCAAGTGAACACTTACCTTATTTAGAACAATCTCTTTCTTACAAATGCCAATTTCAAAAATGCTGCCATTCAGTATGTTGAACCTTTTAATTTTTACTAGCACCCAATATTCCTGTCTCTAGACCTATTTTTTTTTTTCTTGCGCATTGTCAATATTTACTCTTCGAAAATAAAATTATAAAAATTTATTTTTTAAAAAATTTCCGGAGTACCTAATCACGTGTCTGCGCCCTCTATTAGTGGCGATGCTGGGACTTTTTTTGCAGGACCGTAACATCCCTACTATTCATTTAAAAAAATAGAGTTCTTGAATAAGTTCCCGGTGCTTTGTACAGTGCTAGATGGTAAGTGCTTTATTTTATATTATTCTATCAGAGTAAATTTTCTAAATGCACTTTCTGAGTGCAGTGGTCCCCGACAACGGTAATAGGCGATTTGATATTTATAAATTAGCCAATTATATGAAAGCCTTTTTGTGAAATCATCACTAATTTTGTCACGTTTTTCTGCAATTCCTATTGGCAAGTCGACGTGATATTCTTGTGACCAATAGGGACTGCAGAAAATTGGGCAAATTAGTGTACCTATTTATAATTCGAATAACACATTTTACCACATTTTAATAAGTAGAATAAATGGAGTTCTTTTTTTAGAAAAAAAGTCATTCTATTATTAGTAGACATTATTCTATTAATAATTTTTGAGCCAAATAAATAATTTCTTTAATACATTTACATCTACATCTACATAATGTGAATAAATGGAAGCTCATAGGTGAGCCAAAAAGAAATAATTACCAAAATTTTCTAATTAAAACTAAGGAAAAGTTAATTAAATCAAAAATAATAAAATAAAATAAAATAAAATAATTAAACCAATCTAACTCGTAATATACATAAAAGATAGTTACGAATGGCATTAAATTTGTCATGGTAATAGTGACTCTGGTATGTTCAACAAATGTCTCATTCTTTCAACTTTAACTTTAAGATATTGGTCCATTTCATGACCTATACGATTAGAATCAAGTTTACCTTTCCAAGCCCGAGGTACCATAGGAATACGCTCAACCACCTTAACACCATCATTCTCAATTTGTTCAATTTTATCAGGATTATTCGTAAGTAAACGGATCGAAGTTAAACCTAGGTCAGCAAGAATCAGTGATGCGATATCATAAGTACGAAGATCAGGTGGATGATTTAGGAGAATATTGGCCGTTACTGTATCATGACCCAAATCCTGAAGATTATATGCTCTGATGAAGATAAAATCATACGACAAAAAAAAAGACAAAATTTATGGATTGAGTAAGATGAATTTATGCAAATGAAAACTAGGAAAGTACCGTATAGTTCCGAAATTAAGCACCACCAAATTTTGTATAATATCCAAAAAATAAGCACCACCTAAGTATAATCGTATAGGATTTTTTACTAAGTAAATCTCTAAGTTGTACTCCAGATCAAGACGATTCTAATAGTGGTAAATTGGATCAGTGAAACCTTCGTAATTGCCCTTCAAATTTCGGGCGATATTCGTTTACATCCGCTTATATGATTGCAGATCGTGTAACGAACGTCGCTCAAACTTTGAAGAGCAGTTGCAAAAGTTCTACTGGACCAATTTTGATGATTTTACAACCATTAAAATCATCTTGACCTGGAGAATAATTTTATTTAGAAGTCGAAGCAGGTTAAATAGTATAAAATCCTATATTATTAATTTTTAAAACTCAATCTGAAAATAAGCACCTACTATAACAAAAAAAAAGGGTGCTTATTTTCGGAACTATACGGTAATAATAATAATTATAATAATGATAAAAATAATGGTGATAATTAATTCAAACAATTACCTGAGTTTATCGGCTAAACCGATCCCTCTACCTTCTTGCCTTAAATATATTACAACACCACGTCCTTCAGCTTGGATCAATCGCATAGCCTCTTCTAATTGTTCACCACAATCACACCTAGCGCTCTTTAAAGTTTCACCAGTAAAACATTCAGAATGAATCCTAACTAAAGGAGGCGGTAGTTGCTTTGAATATACAATGGAAATGTTCGAATCATTGGATCGAGTTTGACCAGGTCTTAACTTGCCCGTATATGCACCCCTCACAATTCTATCCATTTCACTTTCACCCGAACGAGAAGTATCTAAACTCTTACTGCGAAATTCATCACCATACACAGCAGCCAAATGTTCTTTACCATCTTTATTATTCCTATAAACATGAAGGAAAACTTCACCAGTACTAGTTGGGATGCGAGCCCGTACCAGACATTCTACACTTAGCTGGATTTTATTGTTTGTGAAATATGAAGAAGGAGGAGTGGCTGGAGGAGTTATAATAGTTTCAGGAGCTTTAAGAGAAAACCGAATATTGTGATTGGTAGTTATACCATTTGTATAAGATTTTTTTAAAACAGCAGAACGCTTCATTGAAGTGACAACGTTATTAGATATAGGCAACGTCGACTTTGTTAATGTGGTCGTTGTCGCTGTTTTATCTGACGTCAAAGATGTATTAAAAGTAGAAACGTCAACAGGTTGAACAAATATTGCTTCTTCAATAGAATGACGACCCATTGAATAAGGAAAATTATGGTTTTTTTTTTTTTTTTATATAACTTATAAATTATATAAAAAAAAAAATCTCGAAACAAGATCAGTATTAAAGATCTGCGAAATACAGATCTAGCAATTGATAAATCTTTCATTAGTAATAGGCGAGATATGATTTGTCATCTTCCATCATAATCGTATTCTTTTTTAAATATAAAAAATATATATAACCCGGTATATTATTAAGAAGAATGAGTTATTTGTTTTTTTTTTTTTTTGTTTTTTTTTTGTATTGTCACATTGAAACTTTATTTAGATATTATTGCTTTATTATAGAAATTTTTTAGCATTTATACATTACTATTTTTACTAATCACAAAAAATACGTATCAGTATAGTTTTTTTGTATTAGTAATTAATTTTCACTTTCAACTATATATGCATATATGTTTAACAAAAAACATGTGTCACTACATGACTCGACATTAATGTTGGACGGATATTGCGTGATCGTTGATAAAAGTCTTTAGGTCGATTTTTAATATACGAGCAATTACTGCAAATCTTTTATCTGCTCGATTGGTCGTAATATTGTAATGTCAGATCAAGGGTACTACATCATTTTTTTTTAGTTCGGAGTATGGCGAAAAAAATTATATTGTTATATATCTATTGTAAGTTATTTTAATTTTTTCTATAACGATCGGAATTGAAATTCGAGGGTCACCCTGAAAAAAATCTTAAGTTATCGTTATCGTTATCATCATGTCAGATTTCTATATTTAAAAAAAGATGCTTAAAGTTTTTTTGTATAGTACATCGATTCTCATTTTCCTATTATGGGAGTTCGCTAAAGTGGGGAGAATTTCAACTGTCAATGGGATCTTGCTAGGAAAACAGGAAAATTACCCTTCAAGATTTTCCGATCAGGCTAATTCATATGTAAATAAAAAACTATTGATTTAAATATGAGGTATTCTGGTCTAAAGATCCCCATTAGAAACGTTATCGTTATAGGCTTTCATTTCACTCGTATATTACTTGCCTTAATTCAATCTAATCTCGATGTTAAATAAGTGAATCTACTCGCTTTGGTGATCCAACATTATTTAATGACGCATAATAAAAAAAAAGTTATTAAAAAACCTTCTTGTTAAGACCTTTTTCACAACAATAAGTAATACATAGGTTATTAGAAACTATATATATATATATATCGATCTGTACGTATTCTTTAATGTAGATAGAAGAACTGTTAAGCCACCAGAGCCAGATTATTATATACTTATCACGACGTTTTATTATTTAGTAAGGCAGTGCTGAGGCTCATTGGGTAAGTAAAGTTACCATCAGTATAGATATAGGATTTGGGCTTTCTCAATCTATATAACGTAGTTCTAGTACTATGTACTATTGCTAGCTTCTACTGGGAAGAATCATATGATAGTTGATTCTTTGATCGAGACGGTCTACCGGCACAGCATCCACATGATTTATCTTTCTTATCGACACAGCAATTGATATTTCATTTTTCCGATCCACTCAATTTCTTGACTAAAATGTGTCAACTTTTGCTGTGCGATAAGGGAGGTAAATCATGTGGGTGCTATCGTCGCTTCTGATCCAACACGCATTCTTGCACGTGTGATCACAGCAGATATTTTAAATTTTCGCATTTAGATAAAGTAATAGAAATCTAACATAATATATACAGTATATATATATAGTATTCATTTTAACATTTAAAAAAAGGTATACATCTAATAATGCTAAAATTCTATTGTAAACTACACTGTCATTTAATAAAATAGATCTGCGTGAATATAGAAGTTGACAATAGTTTGATTTTTCACGTTACGCTCAATATAGTATTGATATTACTATGCAAATAACTGATACTATAAGTATGCTCGCACCTCTTTTAATGAAAGTTCATGTCCTAAAAAGCTTGATCAAGCGAGAAAAGCAGACAATATTTTGTAATCACGAATTGGTAATATTTAGATGAAGTAATACGTAATTAAAGAAAACTGATCACTGATTAATTGTTACTGAGAAAAAAAACTTTAGCAATTTACAGATCCAATAAAAGAATGATCTCAAGACATCATTCATTCTAAATATTATATTTCTTTTTTTTCATTAACTAATTCGAGAAAATTCAAAAGTGGAAATATTCTATTCATTTAAAAAATGACAAATTCAATTATGAAATTTCCATATCGGTTTGTTGTACTTTTTCCGCAATCTTTGCAACTTGTGCTTTAATTTTATCCGTAGGTGTATCGATAAGTTCAATATGTCGTTGAATTTCACGTATATTTTCAGCTTTCTGTTTTTCTTTATTGCCAGCCATTCTATGAAACAAAAAAAAGAAAGTTAATAATTTGAACATTCTCAATTATTAATTTATCAAATTTCTAATAAACCAACCTATTCTTGTAGAATGCACGCTCACGTTTAGATCTGATTTCTGTGATTCTCTTCATAGCTTTTATAGTTGTAGCCATTAGTTCTCTATCATAGCGTACAGGAACATTACGTCTTTTTTCAAATTCAAATGTGGAATCCTATATGAAAAAAGTTTTTTGTTAACGAATGAAATCATCAAGATATAATATTAAGACAATTATCATATTTATAAACTTACGATAGCCATTTCTTTGCCTGCCGCTCTTCTAAAAGCTTTTGTCCAACGAACTTTACGAGGATTACGTTTATGTTTAAAAGCTGAATGACATTTGCTTCTACAAAATCGAAATACCTGTAAAAGAAATTTTATATTAATTTTTTTAAAATATATATATAAAATGCTTATTTATTTTTCAATACCTTGCTATCATTCCTAACAAACATTATCCCATGACCGGGATATACGGTAGACGAACAAAAGTAGCATTTCTCTAATCGCATTTTTTTTTATGTTATTAGGTAAATCGAAAATTAAAATTTCTTATCGATATTTATAGCGGTAGATAGATAGATGTTGTACAAATCACCAGATAAGATAAATAGATGTTTTTTTTTTGGTAACGCGCCTTGTTTTTTTTCTCTACTGACTTAAGTAAATGGTATGTAAAAATCGAACAAAAAATGAAATTTCAAGTTTACTCACATTTATTTTATATTTTCTAGGCCGCTGCAACGATTAACCCAAAGGCTTTCCCGCTTGCGGACGCTGAATTAACAAATCAGATACTCGATCTGGTCCAGCAAGCTATGCACTATAAACAGTTAAAAAAAGGTGCTAACGAAGGTAAAATTTGTGTATTCTGTTCTCCATTATCTATAATTCAAGAAACGTAAAATGATCTCATCAAATGGACCGATATTTAGCTTGTGTGGTTGGTCCTAATTTTGTTATTAAAGAAAAAAAATTTTTTTTTAAGCATCGTTCACGAAGAGAAACGTAATACGCATCATCTTACCATTTTCATCAAAACAATATAGCTACAAAAACACTTAATCGTGGTATGTCAGAATTCATCGTGATGACCGCTGATGCACAACCAATAGAGATTTTATTACATCTACCATTATTGTGTGAAGACAAAGTATGTCTAAATTTTTTTTTTTCAATAATCCATTTTTTTTCTTTCTCTATTTTTTAATTTTTACTTTAATATCAAAAAGAACGTTCCATATGTTTTCGTCCCTTCAAAAACCGCTCTTGGCCGCGCTTGTGGTGTCTCTCGTGCTGTTATTGCCGCTTCAATTACTAGTAATGAAGCTTCGGAACTTAGACCTCAAATTCAGGCCATTAAAACTCAAATTGAAAGATTATTAATATGACATAATTTACCAGAGAGGATATGTTGAATAAAAGCGATAGATTAGGTCTAATAGTTACACTTAATATGTACACAATAAGTGAAAACAATTATAAAAGTGAAAAACTTTTCACATTTAGAAGAATCGTAAATAATAAACTTTTCAAGCAAATGTTTACCGAGTGATAATCTACAATCCATATATGATCGCAAAATAATTCTCGACAAAATAATTAGATATATTTTATTTAAAATTAGTTATGATATTCTTTTTTTTTTTCTCTATTTGTGCGGAATTATCAAATGTGCCAGGTTTTTTCATTTACTACAATAGAACACAAAAATCACTCATTCATAAACAAAAAAAAAAAGAATGATTATAATAATTTACATCAAAATAAAATGTCCTTGTATTTTATAAATAGTTTCTAGTGTACTGATATATTGTGATATATACATATATTTTACTTATATCTACTAATAAACTCTAGCCTTTGGCGGTATCTATATGTAGAATTATAATAATAAGTCAGAAATTTGATCCATTAAAACAATATAAAAATTAATCATATAAAAATTATATATACTTACACTAGCACATTCTTTTTCATCTAATGTCTTTTGTGTTACTTGTCGATATTTTAATTTGACTTCTCCTGTTTGATGATCTTGCCAGGATAGCGTATGCTTTAACCATTCCGCATCATTACGGTCCTAAAAAAAAAAAAGTCACCTACCTCATTTCAATAACTTCAATAATTTCAAATGTTGAATACTTACCTTAAAATCTTCACGAAAATGGGCCCCGCGAGATTCTTTACGGGCTACAGCAGAATGCAATGTCTGAACTGCATTAGTTAATAGATTTTCCAATTCCAAAGTTTCTATCAAATCAGAGTTCCAAATCATTGACCGGTCAGATACTTTGACATCTTTGAAAGATTCCCACACCTCATCAATATTCTTAACGCCTTAATAAATGAAAATCATTAATTACTTATAAATGTAAATCATCAGTTATACATAATATCAAATAAAGATGAACTCCTATTCATTCTAACCTTCCTCTAAAGAACTCTGAGTTCTAAAAACTGCCGCATCCCTTTGCATAACCTTTTGCATCTTTAAACGAAGATCAGCGGTAGGTAATTTGCCATTCGCATTACGAAGTTTATCAAGACTTGCAATAGATTGAGCACCTGCATCTGAAGCTAGAGGTTTGTGAGGTGTTCCTGGTTCCAAAGTATCTCGAACGTGGTGAGCGCATGCACGACCAAATATGACAATATCAAGTAAAGAATTTGCTCCGAGACGATTGGCACCATGGACAGATACACAAGCAGCTTCACCAGCTGCATAAAGTCCTGGAACTATCTTATCATTGCCTTTCTAAAAATTTACATATTTTGGTTTAAATTTTTAATCATAATAGTTTTTTTTTTTTAATAATATAAACCTAATACTAACTTCGTCAATTGTCACTGCTTCACCAGTATATCGTGTTGGTATACCACCCATGTTATAGTGAACAGTTGGTAATACAGGAATAGGCTCTTTAGTGACATCAACACCTGCAAATATAGCAGCCGTTTCGGAAATACCAGGTAAACGTTCATGCAGTACTTCAGGTGGTAAATGTGATAGTTGCAAGAATAAATGATCACGCTCAGGTCCAACTCCACGACCTTCGCGAATTTCCAAGGTCATTGAACGTGATACAACATCACGGGATGCCAAATCTTTAGCTGTAGGTGCATAACGCTCCATAAAGCGTTCACCTTCAGAATTGAGAAGGTAACCACCTTCTCCTCTAGAGCCTAAATGTTTATTAAAATTAACGATAAGCATTCATATCTTGTTTAACAAAAAAAAAAAAGATGAAATAAAAAAATATATATTAACCTTCAGTGATCAGGCATCCAGAACCATAAATACCGGTAGGATGGAATTGAACGAATTCCAAATCTTGTAAAGGTAATCCAGCACGAGATACCATTGCATTTCCATCACCAGTACATGTGTGTGCACTGGTACATGAGAAATAAGTACGACCATAACCACCAGTTGCCAATATAGTTTTGTGAGAACGGAAACGATGTAAGGTACCATCTTCTTGATTTATAGCAATCACACCACGGCATGCCCCATCTTCCATTAAAAGATCAAGTGCAAAATATTCAATAAAGTATTTAGTATTATATTTTAAAGATTGACCATATAATGTGTGCAAAAGAGCATGGCCAGTGCGGTCAGCAACAGCTGCACATCGATAAGCTTGACCACCTTGAAAAAAGCAATGAATGAAACAACTATTAAAATATAACATATTTAACAAATATTAAAATTGTTAAATTAAATAAAAAATTGTATTTGAACCTTGCCCAAACTTCAAACTTTGTCCACCAAAAGCTCTCTGATAGATTTTACCCTCCTCAGTTCGTGAGAATGGCACACCAAAGTGTTCAAGTTCAATTACGGCATCAGGTGCTTCACGACACATATAATGTATTGCATCTTGATCGCCAAGCCAGTCACTGCCTTTGACAGTATCATACATGTGCCAACGCCAATCATCTTCAGTCATATTACCAAGTGCAGCATTAATGCCTCCCTAAAAATATTGATTATCTGAATTAACAGTTAATTATGATAAATTTTATATTTTTTGAACTCACCTGTGCGGCGACAGTATGTGACCTCGTAGGAAATAATTTAGTGATACATGCAGTATTAAATCCAGCTTCTGCAAGACCAAAAGCAGCACGTAAACCAGCACCACCAGCACCAACTACAATTGCATCATAAGTGTGGTCTATTACTGGATATTTGCTTGAGATTGTTGACTATTTGATTAAAAACATTCTATTAATGTTAATATAAATTATTTTTTTCACCATCTAGAAAAAAATTTTTTTTCAGTGAAAAATACTAACTGGTGCTTCTTTAGCTCTTAAAGGCTCCGTAGCAATTACTCGTAAAGCAGGTTTTGAGGCATGAAAAGCCCGGTAAAATACCGGAGCCGAGAACTGTAAATCTCATATTAGCTTTCTTTTTCAAAAAAAAAAAAATGAAAAAATAAAAATTTTTAATATCTATTTACTGTTTGGATCGGCTTTGCACAAGACTTTAGTACTTTGAACATTTAAAAAAAAATTTATAAGAGTTACGGTAAGAATCTCTGATAATAAAGATGATCGATTTTATCAGATCAGTGATTATTGGCTGACCACATCAGTTCATAAGAATTTCATGTGATGTTAAAGCTTAATTCGTAAGATTATCGTTATCGTTATGATTAGACATTCTCCCCTAAATGCAAGATCTAAATGCGTTTGGGGAGTTTGACTGTTCCATAATGATCAAAAATTAGTAAGGGTGGAAGTAGCTGTATCTAAAAATGGTTAGCTGTTAGATAATAATTGCTTTATATGTCACTTAGCATTTCATATATATAGAATTTAATTTAAATTAAAATGTCAGCTAATACCTACTCCCACCCTAACCCTAACTCAATATTTAAATTTTAATCTGACGCAAATTTTAGTTTGACGCACATATATATGATACTATATATAGTTTAGTCCCAATGTCTCGTTACAATATAGTAAGGTCGTTTGAAATTATATTTCGTTTTAGGATTGTAAAAATAATATTATATGGTATATATTATCTTCAAGGTCCCTATTTCTATACAACGCAGTACTAGTTTAACGTAAATTATGGATGCCCCCTTAACGTTCTTTTACGTAACTTAAGCGCAGTGGTCAATTTACAATTAACCATAGCTGCCGCAACAAATTTGGACCGGCAGATCCTCGATTTTGATTGGCTAAGAGCGACGATAAAAA